CCTGCTGAAGAGAAGTAACTGTAGTTTTGATCTGGTGTTCTTAATAATAATACATAGTGGTATACATGAGAAGAGCATGATTCTGATGCCTGAGGTAATGGTACTGATCCTGAGCGACCCTGTTTATATGAGCGGGAACAATGTTTTCATCAACGGTTGAAGTATCCTGGACAAAGAATGATGGAACCGTAAGTGGGAGGTATTCTTTCATAACTGACATTTTATTCAGTTGAGGACCTAATTGAGGGGACGAGTCAAATGGTGTGTTTGGCATGACACACGGAAGAACTCTAAGTGCAGACACAACCTACAGGTTCTGCTGCTCCTCAAAGGCAGCTCAGATCCCACTCTGAACCCCACAGCTCAGCTCTAGAAAGCTGTTACGAATATCATGGTCAGCACAAACCAGACTATTAAATTTCTCTCTTGCTACCTGTTTGATACAAGCAACTATGGAAAGGCCTTGGCCTTTTGACCACAGCATGAAGAACACTGAAGAGTTTTGCTCTCATTTCCGCAGGTGCAGGTTTCAAGTCCTTGAAAAACAAACGGTCATTTGCTTTCCTGGTCACCTCCCACTTAATTTTGTTCTTGTTGTTGTTAGAAATGGCTCAAAAACTAGTGAAGGGGAAGGGCTTAAAATAGCGTTTCCTTTCTAACCAAAAAGTTTTTGATGATGTAACCACGTAACTAAGTGCAAATCTCAGCTGTGCTGGTCCCATGACATCACAAACCTTCGGCATAGCAAGTAGCATTCTTGAATGCATCAAAATCTTGTCTTGTAGCATTTAATGCGAGACATTACAAACTAATGAAGAGGAGAAATGTATGCAGTGTTGCTGTAAACCAAATATACAGATGTAAAATAATTAAGAATAAACTGTTCCATAAAAATGCATGTCAATAAAACCCAGTCTGATAAAATGATTTATGAATAATTTTCTAGAATTACTAAAAAGAATGATTTCTCATCTGAGGCTCTGGAAGTCTTGAGTCACATTTTTTTTTTTCTTTTAAAAAAATGTCTTAAAACACATGGCTTTACAGATGCTGCTTGGAAAATATACACCTCCAAAGTCTGACTTTCATTTAAATACAAATGTACAAAATGTAAACTGAGACAATAGAGAAATTTACAAAACTTTTCTTTAAAAATAATAAAGACAAAATTCAGTTCTAGTATGATGCTATTTAAATACGTGCAAGTAGTCATGTTCATTGAATTTCTATTGCAATGTCCTAAATAGACAAATTTGATTCACACAGTCTTGAGTGCCACCTCCAAAAACAGACCTGAGTGGAAAATTCTTCTTAAAATGTGAGGCTCCTCTGGAAGTAATGGATAGAAAATCTCCATTTTGTGGAGATAATTTCTTTTTTCACTCAATGGTGGAGGCTCTCTCATCCATAGAAGCTCTGTAGATTATAGTGGACAGATGCAACATGTTGTTTCATAAAACTGAGTTGGAACTAGCTGCTTCCAGTGGAGTTTGAACTTACGTGATTTGAATTTATGTGGTGATTTAAACTGGCCTTTGAATTTGGAGAACTCTTTGAATTGTTCTGATGCTGTAGAAAGAGGAAAACAACAACAATGAGATTCCCCAAATATGCCATGCTTTCTTTTCGTCCAACATTGTGCATTTTATGGTGCTAACATACTGACTGGACTTAAAGATTTTTGTTTGAAGATCTTTGGATGTAAAATATTCTTCACTTTCTTACCTGTAAACTCGCTAGGTCAGGAGGACCATGGCAATTCTTGAGGAACGCAGCAAAGAACACTCACTCAAGCTCCAGGAGACAAACCAATTCACTGCAACATGTCAGTATCTGCTAAATCTGACTAATACAGAGGACACCTGCCAATGCTCAGGCATGGTTTTAACCCTACAGAGACAGACCAGTCTAAGAATGTTATTTAGATTTGCAAATGGTGCTGTGGTGCCTCATGAAAGCTGCACATCACATATTCTCTGGTCTGCTCTCTTCTCTAGTGTGTTGGGTTCTTGCCATGACTGCCCCACTTAACATTTGCGTTTTCTTTTTTTTTTTTTAAACACATAAATCAAGGCTTTTCACAAACGACTTATCAAAACCATATTAACATTTCAAAAGGCATTTCAGCATAGCACTAAAAAATGGCATAGTGTGAGTAAGAGTTTTCAATCACTGGAAATAAAGCTGATGAAAAATGCTGGAACTTCCGGTGGTAAAAGAATCACCAGAGACAGATGGCAAACCTGGGAAAGGCAGTAGTAGTCAGGAAATTACCAAGTAGCTGTGACAGCAAGCCCTCTCTAAGACGTACTGTCTTTCTCCTACAAAAAAAGTCACCAGAACATGGCTGTAACACTGGGCATCAATGGGAGGTTCCTTGTCTTAGTCATAAAAGATCTCACCTGTCGTTTAAATATTCTCTGTAGCAATCCTTTCTTGGGTGGCTCTGGGGGGTAGCTTTTGTTTAGGTCGGGTGAAATAGTACCATTTGGTCCAAATACATTCAGTTCTTTGAAACACTCTGTTTCTATCATCTAGTGGAATACCATAAGAAAGAAAAAAAGAAATTATACAACTGCATTAAACATATTCCAGTAGTGCTAGCTTGTCCAAAGTCAGCATCAGGACCAGCAGCTTGAGCTGTGTGTTAGGAGAGTTAACAGTTGAATTCCTGCTAAAAAAATTTTTTTTTTTTTAAACACATAAATCAAGGCTTTTCACAAACGACTTATCAAAACCATATTAACATTTCAAAAGGCATTTCAGCATAGCACTAAAAAATGGCATAGTGTGAGTAAGAAGTTTTCAATCACTGGAAATAAAGCTGATGAAAAATGCTGGAACTTCCGGTGGTAAAAGAATCACCAGAGACAGATGGCAAACCTGGGAAAGGCAGTAGTAGTCAGGAAATTACCAAGTAGCTGTGACAGCAAGCCCTCTCTAAGACGTACTGTCTTTCTCCTACAAAAAAAGTCACCAGAACATGGCTGTAACACTGGGCATCAATGGGAGGTTCCTTGTCTTAGTCATAAAAGATCTCACCTGTCGTTTAAATATTCTCTGTAGCAATCCTTTCTTGGGTGGCTCTGGGGGGTAGCTTTTGTTTAGGTCGGGTGAAATAGTACCATTTGGTCCAAATACATTCAGTTCTTTGAAACACTCTGTTTCTATCATCTAGTGGAATACCATAAGAAAGAAAAAAAGAAATTATACAACTGCATTAAACATATTCCAGTAGTGCTAGCTTGTCCAAAGTCAGCATCAGGACCAGCAGCAGGAGCTGTGTGTTAGGAGAGTTAACAAATCCTGCTGGTGGCTATAGAAGGTAAAGAGGATGCACGAAAAAGAGAGACTGAGTCTGCTCTGCGTGTTTGCAAGTCAGCCACCTTAGAACTTGCCCCATAAAGCTTTCTGTTCTTTTCTTTAGCACTGGGGACAATATTGGGTAAAGACAGGCATACTCACAAAATCCCAGTTATTACCACCCCTCTGCCCAAGTGGATCGGCTGTTTGATCCAGAGTTGGATTACGAAATCTGCTCTTGGCTGTATTTTGACCTCAAACAGAAACAAAGACCCAGATCTGGAAACCCTGGAGCAATTCAAGGTCCAGAATCAACTGCTGCCGCTGGGACCTGCTGCAGGTACAAGACAACGGGTGAGATCGGGATTGCAAACAGAGGAGCCTCTCACTAGGGCTTCCAGCTGTCCCACGGATGTTCTGCAGAGCTGCTGTCCCAGCACCTCTGTAGCAAGCCAGGAGAAGGAAGTACAGTAGGATCCTTGCCAATTCAGACAAACATGCAGAGCCAACAGATGCAGTCACCTGAGCCTGACATCTGTGGTGCGTTATGGATCTTGAAAGAGGCCATTTGTAACTTATGAAAGCATTAGAGTCTGGCAGGTTGTCCAGTAGCTATATATCACCGGAAATGTACAGCTCCTCTTAACCCACCTGTGCTAGGGATTTTGTTGGAGTAATTTTACTATGGTACATCCTTACCTCATTTTGCCATGGAATAGACACTGATCCTGTGGAAAACTTGGAATAAAAATCATCATCTGTTTGGTCCAGGTTAACTCCTTTCACTGTGGAGAATTGCTCGATGTCTAGCACATCCTTGCAGTATACAGCTCTGGGCTAGCTCAGCAGAAAAAAAAAAAAAGAAAAACAGCAAGAGAAAAAATACTTTTGAGTCTGACCATGTGCTTTCATTCACAGATTCAGTCGAGTATGCCTAACGACAAGTGACTATCTGCATCCCGCTTCTCTAGGCTTGCTCTGCCTCCACGCTTATCATCAAAGCTGACTCTGCTTTCAGCGTGTTAAGCTTCCCGCTTTGAAGTTCTTAAAGCCCCAGCACAGGCAAAGTGGGTTTTAGTCATCCCTGTGCCATATGGTTAAGAAGTGAGAGGAAAAGGACAGAAAGAGCAAGAAAATCGAATCCTTCAGTAGCCTTTTCTTTTAGAGAGGGAACAACAGAAAATCAGAACATTTACAAGTGACGCACTGGAGAGCCCTGAAAAGGGATCTCAGGTAGAAGTGTCCTTCTGCTCAGGTAGCTGTGGAGTTTGCAGCTTAAAAGTTTAAAGGAATGTATATACTAATTGCTAAAGAAAACAGAAGAGGTTTGGCATTTTTCCATTGTTTTTATTAATAGCTCAGCTGCTGGAAGCTGTCCAGAATCACCTCTATTAACTCTTTTAACTTGGCTGCCTTTCCTCAAACAAATAGTCAAATGGCTTTGCCTTTTTAAACAGCTTAATCTTCTGGGATGACGGCCACAGGACTCATTGTAGTGACGCTGCTTTTAGCTCATAGTCCAGCAGTCAGCCGCAGAAAGCAGAAACGTCGTCACTGGCTACCTGTCGTGGTTGGCGTGCTCATCTGCAAGCCTAGAGAGCTCCCATCAACGACACCGTTCCCCTCCAATGCGCAGGAATAACTGAGGGGGGGTTTGTGGGACCAGCCTGACCGGCCGTGAATCCTGCTGCCGACATGTGGTACCGTGACCGCACAGCCCAGGGGCCCAGCCCTGCAGTGTTCTGTCCAGATCTGAGCGGTGCAACCTGACAAACCAAACCGATTCCTGGTGGAAGTCCTACTTGCTGGAGGCAGCATCCCTCTGCATTCCCGACTGCTGCAATCCACGACTTTTTTGTGGAGACAGAGTAGTCTCAAAGAGGATGGAGAGCCATGGGTTGGATTACAACCTCTGCCATTGGCTATTTAGCTTTGGGTGATTCAGCTGACTTGGAAATCCATGGATGAAATGCCAAATAAATTAAATTAGGGGCAGCTCTTGAGTTCCCAATAAATAGCCATAAAGTTTATGTGCTTCTGCTTTAGAAAATACGTCTATAAGAGGTGCCTTGTAGGCCTTACATGCCACCGTTAAGCTTTTAATACACTCTGGTAGATCCCAAATTTGAGCCCAGAATTTTCTAATTTTCTGCATCAGAAAGAAATAGTAGCTTGTCTCCTATTTCTTCCCACTAAAGCAGGTCATAACACCATGGGCTAATTGGCAGGAATAACTAGGCCACATAGTAAAATGTAAAGCAAAACCAGAGCAGCTAAAGTAAACTTTTGCAGCGTTCAAACCACTTTGGTTTGGTGGAGTTTTCAGCAATGTGAATGAGAGCTGCCAAGATGTTACTTTCCTTAATACGTTAAAATGGCAGTGTTTACTTAGAACCATATGGGAACTTCAAGGATAGAAGGTCTAGCCAGAAAGAGAGCCCTGCAGGAGGAAAATCATCAGATAACTCTGTGCACTGGGGTAGAGACCGATACCACAGAAGGGTGGAAAAAGTTTTGTTATTGCCAGTGTAACAAAGACTTTCAGTATGCGCAAGACCGGTGTGTAAAACTGCAGAAGGCCTCCGTGTTGGGTTCTAACACTAACAAGTTCAAAATGCTCTCTCAGGCCCAAGTCACCTCCTGTGCTTGAGGTGACACTTGGTATCTGAACCTGGTTCAGGCTCTCTGTAGCGAATGCCTGCTTTCGTGATGACCCAGTCCATTCCTCAGTTCTGCAGAGCTTTGGGCTTTGTAATTCTGGTCTCACCTCAGCAGGTATATCTCTATATCTGCACGCAGACGCGTGGCTTTCAGCGCTGGCTGTTTCGAGCACCACCTGGTCCTGAGTGTATTTATTCTCACACTGCTGCCATGGATAAGGGAACACAAAGGTTCCCAGTTCAAAGTTTGGGAACTGAGGCGTGACCAGATGAAGTGGTGCCTCCACTGTCACACAGGAAGACTGCGGGAAAGCAAGCTGGAATGAATCAAGCCCCGGGTTACCAGCCCGCGTGGAGGCCCACCCAGCCACCCACCCTGCAAGCACATGTCTACAGAGCAGCTCTCCTCCTCCTCCTCCCAGCCTGCCCTCTCCAGCCCTACTGCGTATCGCATCTTCCTAGGGCAGCTGCCCGTACAGGGACTGATGACAGCTCAAAGAGAGAGAAGTTATTTTAGCAACAAATCTCTTGCAAGAGGCCACTGAGGGGGTTCTTCCTGTCGTACTTACATCAGGGACGAAGGGAGGATCCAGCATTCCT